GCTCTGATTTCAGAGATCCCTAAAACTACAAGCGCCCACTTGTCCCTTCTCACCACAGTCAGGCATCTGTGGTGAAAGAAGCCGAAGGGTCTTTCTCCATTTTCTCAGCCAGCGAACCAACTCTGCAGTTCTATGCACATGTACCTTGGGAGCAAGCCCCATTGGACATGGGGACTTTAAAGGTGAAACCTGGATCCAGGAGGGTTTATTTCAGTCATGGATGCACAGGGAGGGCGCCTGTCTCTTATCCACATATTCCTCAACTGTCACAAGAAAGCCAAAGTGGAATGGTTACAAAGAGAAGCAACCTAAATGTTCTACGAATCTCCATTTCACACATTCTTCCCTTCCCAGCTAATGGGAAGCTGCATTATAGCAGGTCAAACATTTTGTCCACTCACCACAGTATTGTCTAAATGGTCTGGCTTTCCATGGTCTCAGGCATCACCTACTATCTGAGATCCTTTTAGCTGGAGATGCCAGGGGTTGAACCCAGGACATTCTGCATGCAAAGCAGGCGTCCTACACTCTCTCTTTCACCTCTTTCTCTCTTTCACTAATCTCTACACTCTCTCTTTCACCCTTCCATCTCCTCCATCGAGGCAAGCAAGAGGCATTATCAGAATCAAAGGTCACATTCTACTTAGTCAGTGAGAGTGCATAGCAGGGCTGATGAGGGGCGTGGCCTAGGGAGAGAGGGTGTGGCTTGGGAAAAGATGTGGCCTGAGGGCCAGACAGAGGCCTGGAGGACTGCATCTCCCCTAAATTATTCTATCCTCCTTGGGCTCTTCTCTTTCTTGGACTTTTGTTATTCTTCCTTCCTTCCTTCCTTCCTTCCTTCCTTCCTTTCTTTCTTTCTTTCTTTCTTTCTTTCTTTCTTTCTTTCTTTCTTTCTTTCTCTATCTCCCACTGACATTAAGCAGGCTTCAGCTTTTGTTTTTTTTCCAGAGGTGAATCCCAAAACTAAATTCAGTATCCTGACTAGTGATGGAAGGATCTGTCAGTTTCAATTCTCTTAGTTTCTCTTTTTCCCAATCTTAAATTCAGTTCTCCACATTTTGCAGCAATTTGGCATAAAAAAATCCCTATGAAAAAGTCAGCAGCATTTTAGTGCAAATTTCTCCCAATAAGCACATTTTTAAATGCAATTTTGACTAAAGTCCTTTTTTTTTTTTTGCAAGGAATTTCCACTAATACAATGCAATTTTGTAGGTTATTTTCACTAGTATCTTCATTTTAGGCACACTTCCCCCCAATACATGTATGGTTTAGAGAACGGAGACACAAAATTCAGAAGGATAGCTGTATTTTGGTTTGCACGTTGTCTTAAAAAGTGTGGATTTGATAGATTCAGCTTTAAATGCATACTGAATGAAAATTCTCTTCCATCCCTAGTCCTGACTTCTCACCTTCTTTGCAAAACCCCATCTCAAACCCTCTTTTCTCGTGTTTGTTTCCCCTGTGTGCCCCACAAATATCTCGCTCTGAAAATGGTAAAGGCAGAGCTCTTAATTGCCCAAACCTGCCGACTCCCACATTTCTGTCACCTTCAGAAACAGAAATAGTTATTTCTCCACAACAAGGAACCTTTGTCAATCTTTCAAGGCTGGAGACGTATCTAGAAAACTGATACATTTTATACTTTCAATAATGGGAAAGCAACCATTGTACACTACTTCATTCCAGCATCCTTTGTTGTAACCTGAAACTTCCAGGGTACATAGAACTAGGAGAGGCTTCATAGTTTAATACCAACAAGCCAGCTCCCCCCCCCCTCTGTCTCCTCACCCTGCTTTGCTTACCATCTAACTTTGGATCCACAAACTTTTGTCTGGGAGTAGAGAGAAGAATGACTGGGTTCCAATGCTGCCCTCATAGCTACAGAATCAAACCGAATTTTTGTACTTTGTTTCTCCCTCGCCTGCTTTGTCCTCAGATCCTTGATGGAGAGTTCTGGAAAACCTGAAAACTAGCAGAAACATCTCACTGAGTGAGGCAATGGGGAGGCCAGCATAGTTTGCCACATTTCAGCTTGCATTAAAAAAGAAAGGAAGGAAGGAATGTTATCAGCATTTTAGTGTGAATTTTTCATAATATACACATTTTTTTTAATGCAGTTTTGCCCAACCAATAGTTGGTTGCAAAGCAATTTTCCTGACTGTAATGCATTTTTGTATGCTACTTTCACTAAAGCATTTTTTCACCCTAGCCTGTGCATTTTTGTACACATAACATGACGGGAGGACTGCATCGCAAACTTTGGAGAAGTGGGGATTTCGAAGGGTGGCTGCCTTTTGGTTCACGTATCATTTCAGAAAGTGTTGATTTGGTGAAATTGCCTTTAAATGTGAACTGACTCAAATTTCTCCCCCACCCCTAAGAGATTTCCTTCCCTTTCCTTTATTGTATTTCAATGCCACTTTTCATTCACGTGAGTCACAAAGCTGCTTACATAAAATAAATAACATCATAGTAGATCATCAATTACAACATAAATAATATAAAATAATTAACAAATCATCAGTAAAACAAATCGTTAATAAAACAACCACCTTCTATAAAACACTGCTTTTTTTAAAAAAAAACATTAAAAAGAGTTTAAACAGCACAACCACAAGAAAAGTCATGTTATAAAATTCACAAAGCGCTCATAATCCACAAAAAATATCAACAACATTAATAAGCTAATGACTAAAAACAAACTAACTACAAACTACAAATATGTCTTAACATATCTGCATTTTTAGTCTGCATGCTATTTTTTATGGAAGTGTGGTTTATCAGTATTTAAATAAGCAAACAAAAATGTATTCTCTAGGAACTATCTTCACGGAGGAAAAAGAAACCAACCCAATAACAGGAGAAACAAAGTACTAGAAGACATTAATTATCCTGGGTGTCTTGTTGGGACTTCTGGCTTACATGCAGCCCTGGCTGATAGAGCCAAGATGAAATTTACAATGTTTCATGTTTAAAGACACATATTCCGACACCCCCAATTCCCAAATACAGTAAATGTTTCTATACAGTGTGTTCTTACAGAGCCTCATTGTGAAAGAAAGAAGAATCATAGCCAGGATGTGTTAAATGCAGTGGTACCTCGCAAGACGAATGCCTCGCAAGACAAAAAACTCGCTAGACGAAAGGGTTTTTTGTTTTTTGAGCTGCTTCGCAAGACGATTTTCCCTATGGGCTTGCTTCGCAAGACGGAAACGTCTTGCAAGTTTGTTTCCTTTTTCTTAACACCGTTAATACAGTTGCGAATTGACTTCGAGGAACAACTCATAGAACGCGGTGTGGTAGCCTTTTTTGAGGTTTTTAAAGACTTTGGTGATTTTTGAAGCTTTTCCAAAACTTTCCCGTCACCGTGCTTCGCAAGACGAAAAAAATCGCAAGACGACAAAACTCGCGGAACGAATTAATTTCGTCTTGCGAGGCACCACTGTACACTTTCAAAAGCACCACCAGCCTCCTGCAGTGAGCCTTCACCTGCCCCCATTGCCATTACACCTTTAGTGAACTCTTCCTTTAACTTGGCGGCTCTGACTTGTGTTTCCAGCCTACGTTCTAAACCCTTCAGGTTCTGTAGAATGCTTACTACATCACTGCCACTGCATTTCACTATCTCTATAGTGATAACTAGGGATGGGGAGAAATTTGGTTCAGATTGCATCAAGAAGTGAACCTACCTAATTCATGCATTCCAAAACAATACAAGAGCCAAAAGGCAGCACCATCCTTAGACATTCACACTGCTCTGAATGTTGCAATGTGGCCTTCCGGCCATGTATTGCGTGGATTGGACAAAGTGTGCATAAAGATGCATATATTAGTGGAATGATAACTTACACAGATGCACTATTCAGTGAAAATTGCTTTTTAGAAGTGCATCTATGAATCAAAACTGTATATAAATGTGAAGAGGATTACTAATTCGCACTAAGATGTTGCTGAATTTTTGGGAAGACCATATATTATATATATATATATATATCACAAACTGATATGGAGCTGTGGAGAACTGAACTGAAGAAAGAGACACTGACAGATCCACCCATTCCTTGTAATGACTTCACAAGGGGGAGCTGCAACAAAATGTTATGGCATGGAGGGCTTCAGGAACATAGGAAGTTGCCATTGGTCAGTACTGTCTACACTGGCAGTGGCTCTTCAGGGTTTCAGACAAAGGACATTCCTAGCCCTGTCTGAAAATGCTAGGCAGATGTTCTGCCACTGAGTTTCCATTTGGCCAGCCATGTTCTTTTTGTGGATACTTCATCCCCCTGTTTCCTACCCCATGTCAGTTAACATTCCATGCCCACTATCCTTAGTGGGGTGTTTTTGGGTTGTCCTCCTGCTCCAAATGCCTCTTAATCTCATTTTCTGGGACTCACAAGCAGGGAGAGGGTTGTTGCTCTAAGGTCCCTCTTGCAGGCTTCCTGTAGGTAGCTGGTTTGTCACTTTGAGAAATGGATGCTGAAATAGACATGCCTCTGGCCTGATCTAGCAGGGCTTTTCTTATGTTCTTATGCCCCCTTAGGGATTATTCTTTCTCCTAAAGTCGGTGTGTGCACGCGCTTCTGCACATCTACGCCCTCACACCAAGCCTGCTGATACCTCCCTCTGATATGTGGATGTTTCTGTTTTGACTCAGTGAACGAGTTTTCTATATAGCTTCTCCCTTGGATTGTGGTTTGAACTTGGGTATCACACAGATCCTCGCATCTGGATAATTATCAGAACAGTTGCTGATGCTTCGTTTGTTGCATCTGGCGAACTAGGCTCCAGCCTATGAAATCTCATGTTGCAATAAACTCTCTATTCTTTAAGGATAACACCTTGCCCCAAAGTGTGCCTGCCATTTCCTACTCAGTTGGTGTGTCTGCCCTACTCCCAATGTGTCTTGCTGCCCACATGGGGCTGCGGCATTACAATACAGCCTATATGCGTAAAAGACGGCTGTGTGCAGGGCAGTTGCTTGCGGGGTCAACGCAAGGCCTGCAGCTCAATGGTAGAGCATCTGCTTTGCACACAGAAGCCCCCAAGTTAAACCCCTGGCATCTCCAGCTAGGGCTGGGAAAGAATTCTGCCATGAAGCCCTGGAGAGCTGGTGGCATTCAGGGTAGGCAATACTGAAGAAGGTAGATCAATGGTCTGCTTTGGTATCATCGGCGTAGTCAAGGGGGGCAGGAAGGGGCAGCTGTCCCCCTATCAATAAAAATCAATAACAAATACATAGCTAACTGAGGTTCTGCCCCCCCAACAAAAGGCCTGCTCCCCCCCCCCCAAATACTGGTTATGCCCATGCTTGGTATGTCAGCTTCCTATTAAATCCAGTAATGGGCTCTGCAGTTTGGTCCTGTTTCAGTTGGATTTTATGCATGTAGGCTGCATTCCAATGCTACATCCCTTGCATGGACTTTGAGACACATTGGAAGTGGCACAAGCATATCAGGTGGGAATGGGAGACAGGTGTTCTCTTGGCTACCTCACATGTACGGCCTGAATCTGGCGAGAGGAATCATCTGATCTACCTTTTAAAAATGCATGGAATCGATCCTAATGAATACCCTGCTTCCTCCTTCCTCCCCCCCCCCGAAAATGCCTTATGGGCAGATGCTTTGTATTAAGTAAATTCTGCCTCACTGTCCTGTTTCTGCGATTTCACTCTCATAAGAAGGCTAGCTTTTGCCGTGAGGCCTGGCAGCCACTAGATGGCCGTCTAAGACAGTTGGTGGGAAAGGCAGAGCTGCCAGAGTTGTCTGTTTCACTGGAGTAAAAGTGTGAACGTGCAAGTGATTCAAACTACTGCAACAAACGTGGGCGGCTCATTAAAATGGATTGGCTGAGGGCTGAGAATGGAAAGTGTTTGTTCACCCGCCCCATTATTAACTTGCAGAACTCCTTGTCGTGGTGGTGATGGCCAATGGCTTAGGTGGCTTCGAAAGGGAATTGGACAATTCAGTGGGGCCTTCATGGTCAGAAGCAGTGTTTCTCTGAATATCAGACGTTGGAAATAACAGAGCCCTGTTCGTAAATGTCGCACCATCTTCAGCTCTGGAAAAGGCAGTTTCTAGATAACAGCTGGCCAAGAAAATGTGATGACAGACTTAGCATGGCAGCCAGTTGTAAATCTGGTCTCTCCTTGATCCTCCACTAGATCATCAGACTAAGCTGGTACTGGAACTGTACTTGTGTGCCCTGAACGAGGAGGAGGGAGAGTTTAGAGACAAAATAACCTTCTAGGCAAGTACATGCAGATGGGGAAAAGTGCAGGAGTGCTCCTGCTTTTTTTTTTTTAAAGGGAGGAGGATGAAACCTAACTGTTATCCAAGGACTGCTGCTTATTCCAGAACCACTCAGCAAGTGTGGATATAGGATGCAGCTTTGGAACATGGAACAACAACAACAACAAAAGGCTATATGTAACCGATGCATTAGACGCAAATGCTGTTCAGTGTGAAAGCCCACTGGCAATTGATGCTTCCACTGGTTGTGTGAACACTTGAATGATGCAGTTGCTGAAGGTTTCGCCAACTTAGCACCCTCCAGGCCCCATGGCTGATGGGAGTTGTAGTCTCAAAACATATGGAGGGTAGCAAGTTCGTGAAGGCTGAGCTATGCCAAGTTACTGAAGGCCTGCCTTACGAGTTGAGATAGCTCTCCTCTTCTTGTTTCATACTCATTTCTGTGAAGATTGAAAAGGCCTCACTTTTGGCCTAATTTCCTGCAGGCTTTGAACACATGCTTTATTTTTATGCTGCTGTAACACTGCGTAGTGCCCTTTGTTTGCCTGGAGGCCTCCCACTTCTGCGATTTGTGTTTCCCCGTCTCCTTTGCCCTTACTGTCCTTGGCCTCTCTCACCTACATTGTTTTCCTTTCTTTGTTTGCTTGCTTGCTTGCTTGTGCGTGCCTATGCTGCTGCTGTTTTATCTGATTTGATATTTATTGTATTATTTGATCACTGCTGTATGGGACTAGGCTAATCGGTGACGAATACATGTAAATAATAGACCATGACATCATGGGAGCAGCATTCTTATTCAATCTTTTCTTAATTAGAAGAGAGGCTGCTGAGGCCTGGATAGTCTTATGTGGGTGGAAAACTTCTCAGCCAGTATCATGGAAGAGGTACAATCAGAAAATTGGCGAGAGAGGCTATCACAAAGCTCAGAACGAGAGCAGTGGGGGGTGGCGGCGGCAGTTGCTGAGATGTATCACTGAAACACCAGCGTTTGGTGGGATTACAGATGAGAAAACCCACGGAGAGACTTGAGTGAGATTGATCTGGTAGCCAGGAGATCAAAAACGAGCAGAAGCAGATATTTAGCAGGCAAGGAGGGTGGGTGAAGCAAATCTCCCTGAGGAGATTCCAGATTCTTCCACTCTCTTCCTTCAGGCAACTGACAGAGCCCAGGGATACTGTGGAGTTAGATCTGTGGTCTCCGTTGGACGGTTCACATCCTTCTCCAAGTGTCTGTTTGAGTCCCACCACTCCTTTGTTTCCTTCATTTTGTGACATCCCCTCCACACACCCACACCCCACCACCACTCTCTCCTTTGTTGACAATTTGGACATTAATCTTTCTGGTTCCAGTGTCACATTCATTTTTATCACAGTTCCGTTAGGGTCAGGTCGCTCCTTCCGGAGCTTCGGAGGCCCTCAGAGCAAAAGCCTCCCCTCGGGTTCCTTGGCAGAGGCCTTTCTCAGCCTCTTTGCTGCCTCTCACAGCCTTGGTTATTCCCCCACCTCAGCCTCCTGCATATGGGCCTGAGCTTTCTTACCACATCAGGATACAGAGCAGTGCATGAATTCCGGCCTCAGACTCTGGTCAACCGCAAGCTCAGTGTATTTCACAAACTGTACCTCCTCGTCGTGGGGGGAGGGCTGTGCCCTAAGCACCGGCACATAACAGACTCTCAGAGGCACTAACTACCAACTGGATTTCCAACCAAAGGAAACAAAACACAGATAGCCAGCCTCCTCCTTCTGCACCAACCCAAACCCACCTGATTTCACCATGGGAAGGGTCTTCCTGCTTCTCCTAGCCCAGGGACTCCTGAGGGCTTCTAACAAAAAATGGAGGTGGGTGCATCGGCTCTCCTGCTCAGGCACCTAGCATTTGTGACCTCTCTCCCCTCCCAACTCAGATTTGAGGATGTGCTGCATAAACATGGACAGTATATATATATATATATATATATATATATATATATATATATCCAGAATCTAACCACATGTTCCTCATCCTGAAGACTTCCTGTGCTCCCAGGTATAGTGTTTGGTACAGCTAGTGAAGAACGGAGGACTGCTTGCCAAATGACAACCAGTGCTTTTCCCCCTAAAAAAATGTTTAGGGGTACTCTCATTTTCCTACTCATATTGAAATACTTCCCCCCAATGAGGCCAAACTTAGATTCACAAAATGTTTAGTGGTATGTGTACCCCTGCGTCCCCCCCCCCAGAAAAAAAGCACTGATGACAACACCTGGCTTTGCCAAGCTATGCTCTTTGTGCAGTGGATTTAATCAAATAAGCACCTGAAAGGAGTTGTGCCTTAGTCCTTCCTGATCTCTTCTGCAGCTCCAGACCACCAGCAGCAGATTGGCTTTGGTACTTTGCTTTCCTTTTGAAACAAATGCTGGACCACACTGTGCTCCGTCACGTCATTTGATATGCCCATAAGCAACAGCCTATACATATATGCCTAACATAGGAAGCAGTCTGGCCCATCTAACTTAGTATCGACTACACTGACTGGCAGCAGTTCCCTGGGGCTTCAGAACAGGGTCATTCAGATTCCGGGGTTGGAACCTTGGAACTTCCGGGTGCAAACCAGATGTTCTGCTACTGCTGAGCTATGGCCTTCACATAACCCAGATTAGTTCTGCCTTAACTGTTAAGAGAACCCTTATATTTAGAATACATTGGTGGGCAATGAGGAATCTAGTTTTTGTTTTTAAAGTGGACCAGGCAAGACTAGAGTCAGCCTGATCCTGTTGTGCAGGAGCCACATAGCACTGTTTGGGCTTTAGCCCATCGCAACCTCACTTGTGTATAGATTGAGCTAGGAGACAGAATCAGAACTCTTTTTGGCTTTAAATTGGGTGCTCCTGAGGCAGAATCACATACATATGGTATGTAAATAGTGCCTCTGGATGGCCGACGGAGCAAACAGCCATTTCACCATTTTGCAGGGGACGTTCTAGTCATAACACAAAGGAATGGATGGCTTGATTAACCATAAAGTGGGTGGTTAATCAAGTATCTTTTATACCAAGTATCTGCATTGTGGATAGACTAAGTCAGTGGTGGGCAGAAGTTAGATCAGGGCCGACTGCATAATTTGCAGTAGATCAGCAATTTTTTTTTAATCTCCTGGCTGCTTTACAATAGCAGTGACAACGAAAGGTTCTCCTAAATTACACTGCTGAAATGAAGGAAGCTTATGGTAGTGGGGGTTTGTAAGGAAGGGCCTTGTGCTCCATTTTGTTCTGGTACCCAAACCAATTTCCTGGGCTGAAAATTACTTAACTCTAAATGTATTTCTTTCACACCAGGCATTGGTTGCCATACCTCAGGGTTCTAGCAAAAAATGAAGTAGACCCCCCCCCCAACAAGCCTGAGGTTTGCCTAGTCCTGGACACATTAGGCTGCGACCCCAAACAAATGGCTAGGATTCAACACGCCTAGGATCACACTATTAGGATCCTACTCGCAGGCAAGAACTAAAGCACTCAGATTTCATGGAGACCACTTTGCTGCCATTACCGCAAGGCTGTATTCTTCCTCTTCTTCAGTGAGATGCAGATTTTGCAAGTTGAGTAAGAAGAGGCCATGTTTGCACAACTGCTCTCAATGTTATAGCAGCCTACCATCACAGCGAGCAAACGCTTAACCACTTTGGTGCCCTCAATGACTGTAGCCGCGCCCCAGATGTGCAGCTAAGGATGCACTGCGTTTTTTCCTTATGGAGGCATGCGCAACTTGGAGCCTGCAAACTTAAGGGAGAGAGGGGGCAAAGAGGTTGATGAAGGAGGCCTACTCTTCTGGGACACGTCCTG